ATTTATTGTAGATACATACAACAGACACTACTATTATATTTATTATAGACTGCTGTACCGTACCATCCGCCCTTCGGTCCGGTACCAGCAGCACCACGATTGTCTCTCTCTCTCTCTCTACATATATAAATCTAAAGAAACTCATTTCCTGTTACTTAATCACGCAATCACATCATCTGTGGTAGTTGTGACTCGAGAAGTCTTGCACGTGATATCACAATACTTCCTGTTTCATTCAACGCCGCCATATTGGACGTCAAGCATTTCCTTCTAAGTAATCAACAGTAATCCATATCATGTGACTCGAGAAGTCTTGCACGTGACATCACAATACTTCCTGTTTCATTCAACGCCGCCATATTGGACGTCAAGCATTTCCTTCTAAGTAATCAACAGTAATCCATATCAATGCAAGATTCGATAAATCTTTACATGATGTTAATGGCATAAACATCACCTGCGACGAAAGATGCGGATCCGAAACTACGGCTACTAAATTTCTTGATATATCTTTATTTATGCCTATTAGATACTAGATGAAGAATTTATAATTTTTCACCTAAAACGAATATACATACTTCACATCCAATATGGCGGAGTACACTACAGACCACGTGACGTTTTTACAATGCTCTTATAAAACATAATGGTATCACTAAACACGAGCTAAAAGATGGAAGATTTCTGTGTGTTCCAACAGGATTTGTACCGAAAAGCCTACGTCATCTCCCTTAAGGGATCGTCTTTAATATCAGAATATTCTGTTTGAGAAAAGCATATCCCCTTTAGCGTGGACAATAGAAAACAGTTACAGTGTAATTTGCCTCAAGATAAAAACTTTATTTTATTTCATACAATACTATACTGTAAGAGAGCGTGAGCAACAAGAAATAGTGCTTCGATAAAAACTAGGGTTACCATTAAGTAACAAGTTAAACCGAAATCCAGTGTGGATTATTTAGAGTTTTCCGTTAAGTATATATATATATAAATACTTAACTGACTCAGAATTCTAGTACATCATTTATGAAAAACGTCTACATGAATTATTTTTATTCCGATCGACAATGTTTACCTACACAGATAGACAAATGTACATCTATGAACCAGCCAATACAGTGACATTTGAGATATTATTGCCTCGGGAACCAACCAATAAGGTAACATTTGAGATCTTGTCTCGGAATGAGTAAGCGCACAGTTAATGTGTTTTTGTTGTTGTTTTTTACTTGAGCCAACCAAACAAGTCTGACACACAAATAAAATTACAAAAACTATCTGGCCAGGTGGTTAGGGAGCTCGACTCGTAGTCTGAGGGTCGCGAGTTCGAATCCCCGTCACACCAAACATGCTCGCCCTTTCAGCAGTGGGGGCGTTATAATGTGACGGTCAAACCCACTATTCGTTGGTAAAACAGTGGCGCAAGAGTTGGCGGTGGGTGGTGATGACTAGCTGCCTTCGCTCTAGTCTTACATTGCTAAATTAGGGACGGCTAGCGTAGATAGCCCTCGTGTAGCTTTGCGCGAGATAAAAAAAACAAAACTATCTTTTCCACAAACATACTACTGATGACCACTCTAAACACATAACTAAACACATAACGTAATATACAACTAAACACTACATCGTCTCAAGTTTTGTTGTGTTTTTTACGCTAACTGGAAAATCTATCTATCTGTCTGCCTACCTACCTATCTATTTATCTGATTCTACTAGATTTTGTCCATTATGTATTTATTTGGTGTTGGACTTTTAGCTACGTATTGTCAACTAGCTGGACTACCCATTCCCTGGACGTAAATTATGCAAATTAATGAAAGGTTATCTCAGGGCATGAAAAGTGGCTTCCCTTATATGTAACTGTAAAAAAAATCAAATAAAAAAACGCAAAACACAAAATGTAAAACTACAAATTTGCATGCATCTCCTCATGGACATAATGAACGTCCGTACCAAATTTGTTGAAGATCCATCCACACCCTGCGAAGTAGTTACATGGACTTACAACAGACACTACTATTATATTTATGTAGATACATACAACAGACATTACTATTATATTTATATACAACACACAGTACTATTATATTTATATAGATACAACACACAGTACTATTATATTTATGTAGATACATACAACAGACACTACTATTATATTTATGTAGATACATACAACAGACACTACTATTATATTTATGTAGATACATACAACAGACATTACTATTATATTTATATAGATACATACAACAAAC